GCTGAACGGAATCTATCTTCCAAGCCATGGCCTTGCCCCCCGAGCATTCCTCGCGGAACCTATCTTCAGGGGATCAGGAGACCACATCGGAACATATTGCAGGGAAAGCTAGTATCCAGGCAAAAAGCTGGTCATCAGTCGAAGGTTTCTCCAGGAGCTCGTCTTCGGTGGCGCGGCCTGTTCCCCAACAGTCAGAGAGGTGGCAATGGTGGCTTTACCGCAGAGTGGGCTTCGCAGGTGCGCTCTGATTATCCACGAGCGCCTAGCACAGGGATCAGGCGTCTCACGCCCGTGGGCCGCGGTTAGAGCCCGTTCAAGGAAAGGGGGGCAGGCGCCCGGCTCAGCCGCGGTTGCCGGCGGCATCGCGAAAGAGGGGGCAGTTATCCCCCCCCTCCTTCGAAGGCCAAAACGGCAGGTTCTCAGAGCCTGGCTTGACAGATTCTGGCAATTTTGGCGCGTGCGACGGAGCCCCAGAATACAGCCAGACACAGTGCATATTTGCATTCAAGCGGTCCGCGCGGTGTTTTCGCACAGTCGGAAACAGAGGTGTCGTTCGCGACAGGATCTCCGCATTCGCTTGGCCGCTGGCGGCCAGACACTTGACAGCCAACAGCCTGGAAGCGTTCCGACCTGGAGACCGGCCAGTGCAGCGGCTCAGCCGCCGGCGCGCCATGAGCCTCTCTTCCACTTGCTTGAGCCCCTGAGGTTTCGCTTCATGGGGTGGCTCGCGCATGTGGCAAGTCGTGAGGGGCAATCGCCCTCTGCCGCAGCCGTGTGGTGGCCCCTTGTGTGGTCTTCCGAGATCGATCAGTATGCGCGCCCGTTGAAGTGCCCCGCTCTTTCCGTCTTCGAATGGCCGGATCTGGATGATGAGCAGATCCCGCCAACAGACGGGCGGGGCAATTGGGCAAAGAGCAGACATTCGGAAGGCATAGAACCATTGATGCGCCCACCGCGCGATTTCGTCCCGGCGGTGAGCAGGGCCAAACTGTCAGTGGAACAGCCGCCTCTCAAGAAATTGCGCCCTTCGGCAGCTGGCCCAGCCGGGCTGCCAGGTCTGCGTCGCGTCGCAACGAGATTGCAGGTGGATCCGGGGGGCTTATGCCTCCGACTGGATCCACGATTCCACGGCGCATTGAGATGAACCGTCCACGGTTCCACGGCGCATTGAGCGGTTCCGAGATGCCACGCTGGCTGGGCCTCGCACCTCTTGGGGGCGGCGCGCCGAGGGCCCGGCCTGGATGCGCAGTGCAATTAGCGAGCATTTCATCGGACTATCGAGGAAGGTGGCCGGGTGAATATTCTCACCAGCGACCAAGATGCCCGCGACGTCGCTGCCCAATTCCTCTTGGAATAGTTCGCCCCGTCGGGCGAAGCACGGAGGCTGGATGGGGGTGTGGCCCGTGAGGTCACTCCGAAGCTTGCTGACTTAATGGCCGAAATGTGGGGGGAATCTCACGAGAGTAAGCCGACGCATCAGCGACGGGGCAGAGTTTTCCGGATCGTCCGAGAGGTCGTCGATCTCCTTCTTTATGATAGAAGGTCGCCACGTCGCTTTCCCCAGCCAAGAAGTGAACGATCTCGTGGAGGTTGGGGACTTAAGCCCTGTCCAGAGGCGGGCTGACGCTTGCGCGCTGGACTGCCGCATCAGGTCTGCGCTTCAATCGTCAGACCTGTTGGAGGAGTGGACGGAAGGCCTCGGCCCGGGGATTCGTCGCGAGGTCCGAAGCCGCTGTGGCGAGATCCAGGGCGCCATGGCGTTCATCGTCTCCGGTGGCACCGACAACCCAATGGCGAGAATGCCTTGGCTACGGGCCGTTTTGGCCATGTCGTTGCGGGCGCGACCGTTGGTCTCGCAAGCAGCATGGGGAGGGGCGCCGTGGCGGTCGGCTCAGCCGATCCGCCCGCCTCGGCCCTCAGCGGCTCTGCCGCCTCGGGGGCCGACGTCGAGGCCCCTGGCGGCTCTGCCGCTCCGAGGGCCGATGACAGCGCCCCTGGCGGCTCTGCCGCTTCGGAGAATGACGCCGAAGCCCCCGGTGGTTCCGCCCCCCTGAAGCGGCGACGTGGACTTGACATCAGGGCCCATTGCACCGAACACGCCCGATAATATAGGCATGGGCGAAGGCGCGCGCGCATGCCCGCAACGCCTCCAAGATGTGCCCCGCAGACCCCGGATGCTGCGCGGGCGGGTTGGAGGCAGAAGACGACTCGTAGACCCAGCCCGCGCGGTCAGGCGCCCGCCAAGTCAGCCGGGTCGGGCGCCGCGCCTCCCAGGGGCGCCAGGTCGATGACGACCTCCGCGGGACGGGATGAGTGGAGTCGGTCAACGTGGGCGGATAAATCCGCGAACGTCACTGCGGCGGAGGCGGCTGGAACTCCTCGCAGGACTACGCCGACAGGGGCGGCGACAGCCGCGTCGCCGGCCACTGGGTCCACGTCGACCGTCGCTGGCCGATGATTGCGAGTTTAGAGACATGGAAGCGGTTCGCCCTGCTGGAGCACAGCGAACTCTTCATGAACGAGCCCGAGGGCCGCCTCCAAGGGCGAAGAATGGAGGCCCAGCCCAAGGGCGCCTCCAAGGGCGAAGAATGGAGGCCCAACCGCCCAGCCTGGACATATGGGCTAGGAGCTGCGCCTGCAGAAGATCACGCGCCTGAGCGGCAGGCCCGCGCGGCACTGGAGGCGACTGCCGCTGCATTGCCTCTGCCGCCGCCGCCGCCAGCGCCGAAGGCGAGGCCGGCTGACAAAGGCAAGGGCAAGGGCAAGGACAGGGGCACTGACAGGGGTAGCGGAAAAGTCAAAGACGACCGTAGACAATGCCCCGACGAACAGCCCCAGCGGAACTGGCAGTCGGATCGCAACTGGAGCCGTCAGCGACGGCGTGACGATCGCCGGTGGGAATAAACTGACGCAGATGATCTGGTGCGACTTCGTCGCCACCAGGACAACATCGCTCGGCTTCGCCGGCGCGATGTGCGCGAAGAGAGGCGAACGAGATCTTTAAGATATGAGCCGACGCCTGGGCTGGCGCGCGAATATAGCTTGGGTCGGGCACGTCGGGTTGCTTCGGCCCATCGCCCCTCGGAGATTTCGGCTGAGCTGTGATATTTACTTCGGGGTTGGCTCCCGAGGACGTGCATATGAGCAGGTCGAGTGGGCGTGGGCCGACGCAGGCCTACGCGCCCCGCCACGGGGGGAGTAAATATGCTCCTCTCCGCGCCACCATCGCGCCGCCTTTGCTGTTACTTTTCACGCGCTGACTTGTCATCTGCAGCCATTCAGATCCGAGAAGTATAAGAAATAGGCGCGAGCTAGTGCGCGCGCCGAGGGTCGCCCCCTCGTCGTCGTCGCGTCGCCGGCCGGCCGGCCTCCTCCCCGCCGCGTGCCACATGCTTCTCTTATCCGCTGAGCGGAATCTACCTTCCAAGCCGTGGCCTTGTTGAAGCCCCCATGAGCATTCCCCACGAAACCTATCTTCAGGGGATCAGGAGACTAGATCGAACATACTGCAGGGATAGCTAATATCCAAGCAAAAAGCTGAATGAGAAACCCTGATTCGGTGATTTCCACGCCCGCGCCCCGCTGGCGCCCCGCCGAAGAAATCAACAGCCAGTCTTGGGCCCCGTTGTAATGTCTCCGTTGCATCTGGCGACCTCTTCAGAGCCGTTTCTGCGCTCGCTGCCAGTGTCGAAAGTCACTTCCCAGAGACAGGGATCCAAGTGATAATTCTGATTGCCGTCTCGCGGGGCCTTTGACTAGAACCATCGCGCGCGCTTCGCCCGCTTTCGTAATGGGCGTGCCATGGGGCTAAGGATACAGCGCGTCAGACGGGCCGTGTCGGGATGAACGAATCCTTGGTTTTGAAGCGCACGCTTTGGCCGCTGAAGTCGCACTGAGGATTGGTATTGACCGCAGTCCTGGGCCATCCGTTTGGTCAATGGTCCTGGGCTTTCTTTTTGGTCGACGTGGGCCTGTGGGTCCATCTAAGAGCCGAGCTTTCGCAACGCATGTAAACCCGAGAGAAGTGTACAATTCGTTGGGGTGGAATGCGTTTGGTTTTGATTGCTGTGGCCCTTGGGTATCCTTTGTGGGCACCGGGCAGAGACTTCCGGGGAATGGAGGCGGAGACGTTTATTTCTGAGGTTTGGGGGCCCATGGTGGAGCCTTTGCGTCCTAGCCCGAGGGGAGGCGTCCACAATGTAGGGGGGCAGCGCATGGAATGGAGGTCGAAACTTCCTTTTCAAACGTTTTGGAGCCTTTGCTTGAGTTTTTGAGTTTTAGTTCGAGGAACAAACATGCAGAATCGCGGGGGTCAGCTTGCAGAGTGGAGATCGGCATTTCCATTCTGGAGTTTGGGGGCCTGTGTTGAAGCGTTTTAGTCCAAAACGGCGGGGGAAAGTTGCAAAACGGAGGTCGGACCTCCATTTTGGAGGTCTCGGTTCCAGCGTCTTACGACGTCGGCGCTTCGGCCCCCTCCGCTGCGCCCTCGTGGCGCCGGGTGCATGTGGCGGGTGCGTGTTGCTGCTCTTCCGTAGCCGTTTCGGCTCAGCCTCGCCCCAGGCCCCGCAGGTGACAGCCGCCTTCAGTCGCGCTTCCCTCCTTGCACCCCGTGGCCACATGGAGCTGCAGATCTCCGCGTCGGGTGGCGTGGAGGCGGCGGCCACCGTGCCATTCCCCGTCCGCCTGTCGTCCTGCAGGGAGGCCTCGGCCCGGTGCATGCTGACCCTCGAGGAGGGCGGGAGCGTCAGGGCCCGGCTGCTGGAGTCGAGCGAGGGCCCAGTCCTCTGCGACAGCGGCTGGGTGCAGCTCGGCGGCGAGGACTGGGTCTGCCTCGACTGCGCCGCAGCCTCCCGGCTGCTCTGCTGCGCGTGCGAGTGCGCCTCGGGCTGGACGCTGTGCTTCGACGTCAAGGAGCGGCCGGACCGCCCGCCGCTGCTGCGTTCCGTACACGTCGCGGCGGCCTCCCCGGCGGGCGCCGCGGCCGCAGAGGGCGACGCCGTCGCGGCTGCCAGCGCGGGCGGCACGCTGGGCGCGGTCGCGGGCGGGGCCGGAAGCGCGCAGTGCTTCGACTGCACGGACGCGCAGTCGGAGGCGAGCTTGGGCCTGCGTGCGGCGCGAGCGCCGCCGGGGCTGCCTGTGCGGTCGGCTGGGGCGGGGCGGGCCGACCGCACCCCAGAGGATCTTGAGATCCGACGTTGCCATTGCACAATCGCAAAGAATCACGACCGGACCCTCTGACGCCGTCTCTCTGCGTCACTGTTCGAGGCGGATCGATCCGTGAGGGTCCTGGGGCCCGAAATGAAACGAAGACGCGCGTTGTGAAGGAATTGCCACGCCAGGATCTCAGAGGAGGCCTTGCAGCAGCTGCTGGGCGGAGGCGCCTCGGGCCTGCCCCAGTGGCTGCTGCAGCCTTCGCTCTGGGAGGCCCTCTCGCGGGGGCTGCGGTTCGAGGCGGGCTCCTCGGAGGGCGGGGCGCTGGCCGTGCCGCGCGCGCAGCTGCGGGCCGCCAGGGCGGAGCTGGAGCGCTCGGGGCACGCTCGACTGGAGGGCCTGAGCTGGGACGACGTGGGGGTCTCCATGCAGGCCATGGCTGAAACGTCCTCCTCTTCATCCTCCCCCTTTTCCCACTCGAAGGAGAAAGAATGGCAGAAACCAACACTTCCGGAGCTCCGCGCGGATTTTCTTGGTGGATCTGCGCTGGGGCCCCCTCCACTGCGGCGCCTCCGGCGCCGCCCCTGGCGCGCCCCGCGCGCCAGCGCGGGGGCTCCAGCGCAGATCAAAGAAATCTGCGCGGACCGTCGAAAGTTTATGTTCTTCATGCCGTTTCTTCTCTCTCCATCCATGCAGGCCATAGCTGACACCATGGCCTCGCTCCAGGAGCGCGGCGTACCGCCCGTCTTCGTATTCATGTACGGCGAGGTCTGGGCGTTGTGGCGGAGCCTCTTCGCGGCGGCGGCCGAGCTGCTCGGCGTCAGCGAGGAGGAGCTGCGCCTGGACGCGTCGGTGTTCGCGTGGGCGTTGCGGCCAGCCGGCGCCGCGGGCGAGGTCGGGAGCAACTTCGGCAGGCCCCACCGCGACGACAGCTACTCGGACTGCCACACCGCGGACGGGCGGCTGAGCATCCTCAGCATGTGGCTGCCCGTGGTGCCGGTGACGACGTCCAACGGCTGCATGTACGTCGTCCCCGCCCAGCACGACCCGCTCTTCGCGGAGCCGTCGCACCCCCTGCACATGCGACCCGAAGAGCAGATGCCCTGGGCGCACATTCGGCCCCTCCCGGCCTCGCCTGGGGACGTGCTCATGTGGAAGGGCAACCTCATCCATTGGGGCTCTGCCCCCGACGGCGCCGGGGACCCGCGCAAGAGCATCGCCTCCGCCTTCTTCCGGGCCGGGTCGGCGGCCGGGCAGGGCATAAGCCTGGGCCGGTTGCGGGCTGGGCTCAGCGTGAGCGCTCGGCTGCAGCTGGTGCTGCGGGCGCTGCTGGTCTACTCGGACTGGCACCCCGGGTTCGCTGGGCTGGAGCGCGTGCTGCAGGGGCCCGGTTTTGAAAAGGCGATCCCAACGGGGCCCCATGAACGGGTGGCAGCGGGAAGCATGCCGCACAGCAATTAGAGCGCGGGCGGGCGGGCGGGATTTTGCTTCGGGGAGGGGCCAACGACGCATGGGAGACAACAGCTCGGCTGCACGATGGACACTGGAAGGAATGGACCGTACCTCGTGCTGCCTGGTCTTGGCTGGAGTGTTGCTCGTCTCCAGCGGACGGCGCTCCACGGCGCCAAGCCAGGCAACCCAGATCAGAACCTTGCCGCGCGCCCGACCGGCTGCGCAATTCCGCGCCGCACGTTGCCGAATCGCCATGAAGGAAGCGGGTCTTGGGGGGAACGGGCCCTGGACCCTGGGGTGCCTCCAGGACCAGTCCTCCGTCCCGAGCTGCTCCTCCTGGCCGTCCTGGGGCCGCGTGCAGGGCTCCGGGAGCCCGGCGAAGGACTTCCAGGACCCTCCCTCCCCTCGGGGGCGGCCAAGAGGGGGGTGATGACTACGGGGGGGGATCTCATGGCGAGGGCCATGATATCTCCCCAGATGTCATGGCGCCTCTTCTCATCTCAATGCGTCCCAGGCCCCCCCCCCCCTGGGCCGCGCACATGCCGCCCGCCATGACTTGACTTGCGCCCCTCCCTCTTGGACGCCCCCCTCTTGGACGCCCCCGATCCCCTCTGCAGACCCGCCTGCCGAGGTCTCCGTGTCGCCTCCCCTCCGCCGCCCCCCCCCAACGCCGCGCGGCCGCTGCCCGCCCGCCTCGGCCCCGCGCCCCGCTCGCGCGCGGCGAGGCGAGGTGGTGCTGTGGGCCATGGAGCTGTGGGGCACGCCCCGGGTGCAGACGCTGCAGGCGCACCTCGAGGCGGGGTGCGGGCCCCCACCCCCGCCGGGCCCCCCACCCCCGCAGGGGGGTGGCAGCCATGGCGCCGCGCCGACCGTGGCCAGGCCCGCGTCTGAGCGACGGGCGGAAACGGGGTCGGCTGCGCGAGCATTCGCGCGCAGGCGTAGGCTTCCAGCGCAAGGTCGCGCGTAGGCGCCCTCTTGTCCACGCGGTGTGCCACGCCGGTGGGCCGCGTAAGACGCGGTGTGAGGTCGTTATGCCTTCTCGCGTAAGACCCGTTTGGTTTCGTCGCCTACGTGCGTGTGTGTGTGTGTGTTTTCCTGCTGGATCTGGCATGCTCCATGCTGACTCTGACCTGGCCTGCGCCCGCGCTCACCCCCCGGCTCTAGCCCGACTCCTCTACACAGCTGCGCGCGTGGCCGCGACGCCCAAAGGTGTGTGTGTGTGTGTGCGCCTTGGGCGCGTACACTGATCCTGTGCTCAGGATCCGAAGCCATTTGGCTCAATAATCTTGGTTCAGGCACACCTGGGGCAGCTTCGGGTTTGCCCGAATGCTAAAACACAACACACAACACACAACACACACCACACAACACACACACACCACACACACACACTTTTGCGTCGGCGGCTTGGCAGAGGGACTGTACTGGCGAGCAAAGCGACACGGGGCAGCGTTAGGCGAATTCTGCCGCCATGCAGGAGGGAGGGGGGAGGACGACCAGACGCCGGCCAGGGGAGGGGACCGAGAGGAGCTGGGCCCGCTCAGAGCAGCACCAGGTGCGTGGTGGGGCCAGCGCCAGGGGGCCCAGCGGCGGCGGCAGGGCCGGGGGGCTGGCGGCAGCAAGGGCTGACGGGTTCAGCCGGTGAAGTGGCAGCACGACCAGTGAGAGTGCCGAACCCCAAGGGATGGGGTGCGGGGCCTGGGAACCAGGCAAGGGTGGGGGGGGGAGCGCGGGCGGCAAGACCAGCCCAGGCCCCAAGCAGCGGGGGGGAGCAATGCCAACAGGCGGGGAGCAGCGTGTACGTGCGGAGTCCCTGCGAAAACCGCGGGGTGAGCCGAGCGACGCTGGGCACCGAACAGGTGCAGTCACGGTGGGGATGGGTCCACCGGCTGCAAAGACCGGGGTATGCCGACCGGGGCAGAGCAGCACCACGAGGTGGGCGGGAGGGGCCCGCCAGGGCGCGAGAGGCCAGCACCCGCCCCGGGTGGGTCGCCAGGCCGGTACGGGGAGGGCAGGCGCCCGGGCATGGCGTGGCAGCCTGGGGCGGGCCAGCGGCGGGGATCGCCCACGGAGGCTCGTCGGCCTGGCCGATGTGACTGGAGGCGGCCCCCGGGACGGGGGCAGGGGGAGGTGGGACGGGAGGGGGGCCCCCGCCCTCAGTGAGCATGGCGGGGAGCGGCGTAGTAGCCCGCTGGCCGCTGGGGCCGCCAGGCACCGCACTGGCGGCACGGGGGCGGCCAGGAGGCGCAGGCTGGGGCGGTAGGGGCGATGGGCAGCGGCAGGACGGCTGCCGAGGCCAAAACTGGCCAGGGGGTGGTACCCAGCCCAGGCGAGGCAGGGACGCGCAGCCCCGGCGGCAGCGGGGGGGGGGCCCACACCGCCACCCTCCCCGGGGGGAGCAAGGGAGGGGGGTGCAGGGAGCGCGGAGAGGCACCGAGCTGGTGCAATCATGAGGTGGCAGTGGCACACTCGCACGGCACCACAGAGGGGAGGAGGAGGAGGAGGAGGAGGAGGAGGAGGAGGAGGAGGAGGAGGAGGAGGAGGAGGAGGAGGAGGAGGAGGAGGAGGAGGAGGAGAGGCAGTTGCAGGAGCAGGAGCAGGAGCAGGAGCAGGAGCAGGAGCAGGAGCAGGAGCAGGAGCAGGGGCAGGGGCAGGGGCCAAGGGGCCAAGGGGCCAAGGGGCCAAGGGGCCAAGGGGCCAAGGGGCCAAGGGGCCAAGGGGCCAAAGGGCCAAGGGCCAAGGGCCAAGGGCCAAGGGCCAAGGGCCAAGGGGCCAAGGGCCAAGGGCCAAGGGGCCAAGGGCCAAGGGCAGGAGAGAAAGGGCCAAGGGGCCGTAGGGTCCGCGAGGGCGGGTAAACTGAGGCATTTCCAGTTCCTGCTTCCGCGAGCCGTTCTGCATGGCCCCGCAGTGAGGAGAGGATACCCCCATGTCCTCCCCCTGCGTGCGGGGTCGGTGGCGGGCGGCCGAGGCTGGCTGCTCTGCGCTGCTGTCGGCGGAGGTCGCCCTCTGCCGCAGGCTGCCCGGCCCCGCCCCTCGCGCATGGCGCGGCGGCCCCGCGGCGCCGAAGACCCGCGCGAGATGGCGCCTGCGCCCGGGCCCGCCATGATGGAAGAGAGGGGCGAGGGGTGGCGAAGGGAAGGCATGAAGCAAGGACGCGACAATGACCAGTGCCCGGCACTGAGCATCGAGGGGGGCGTCCTACTTCCTCCCGACCCTGGCCCTCCTCCCGGCCTGTGGAGCATCGCACGGGGGCGGCGGCGTGTGCCGCGGCGCGGGCTGCCTACACAGCTGGGGCACCGCACACCTCGTGAATATCCGCCCTGTATGGGCGAGAGCTGTTGTGTGGACGATGAGGGCGCCAAGCAGCAGCGCGACTTGGGCGCTCCGGACAATCCCAGACCTTTCCCGGAGGCGGACCAGGCGGGCATGCTCCACCTCAGCTTGCTGATCGCGGTGGAACGCCGCGGGCTGGCCGTTAACGCCCGCAGAAGCCAGCGGCGCTATGCCAGACGAGTGGCGCAGCGGCGCGTTGACTGCGCGTGGGACCCGGCCATGGCGGAGCACGACGCGATTTTGGCGCTGATAGCTACCAGCGCGCAGCCGAGCGGCGCGCCAGAAGAGGAGGGGCAAAAACGACGCGCCATACGGCGCTGGTCACTTGGCGCGCCGCCGCAGCAAGATGACGACGCTGGGTGCGACGGCGCGCCGCACCCCCTGAGGCAGAGGAGGGCGCGGAGGCGTGGACGGCCACGGACTCGGCCACGCCGCGGAAGAGGCAGATGAGGAAGACGAGGTAGAGGAGGCAAAGGAAGTAGAGGAGGCAGAGGAGGGACGCGTCGCACACGGAGGCCGAGGAGGCAGAAGAAGCAGAGGAAGAGAGGAGGAGGAGGAGGAGGAGGAGGAGGAGGAGGAGGAGGAGGAGGAGGAGGAGGAGGAAGAGGAAGAGGCGGCGCTGAAAAAACAGAGGCAGAGGAGAACGAGACAGCAGTGCAGGAGGACGAGGGCGCGGCCATGCAGCCCCTGGCCGGTGGGAGCGGCCACGAGGAGACTGAGCAGCATCGCGGAGGAGGAAGAGGAGGAGGAGGAGGAGGAGGAGGAGGAGGAGGAGGAGGAGGAGGAGGAGGAGGTGCAGGCGGGGGGTGCCCAGCCGCCGGGCGAGGCGCGGGAAGGGATCTCTGAGGCCACGGTCCAGCCAGCTGGAGGAGGTGGAGCAGCAGCGCACGCAGCCCGGGGAGGAGAAGGCGTCGGATCTTCCAGAATCCGGCGAACGAGGCGCCCGCGCATCCCCAAGGAGGCCAACCAGGAGATGGCCGCAGCGGGCGTGATCTGCGGCTCGCCGTGATCCCGGCGGCGCGCTGCAGCCGCACTGCCGCGCGATACGGGCTCCGAGGCATCCGCATCGGAGAGGCCTCACACCCAGGCCCTGCATGGGTCTCGAGCGCGCAGGGCGGCGCCAGAGGCGGCGCGACATGCCAGAGCTGCCACGACCAGATCAAGCCTGGAGAGCATCGAGTTGCCACACGGACCGACCACAATGCTCGGCGACGGTACCATCACTGGGAGTGCATTGTCGATGACATTCTGCCTGGCGACGCCGTCGCAGGAGCCACGCCGACAGACGAGACCAGCGAGGCGTTCGATGCCCTGCGCGGTCGCGCGGGGAGGCAGGAGCAGCAGGACGCCGCCATGGCTGGTTCCGACGCGGAGGTCGATGCTCTGACGGACGACGTCGGAGGTGCGCAGCCGCAGGAAGGAGAAACGCCAGGAGGAGGACGAGGAGGAGGAGAAGGAGGAGGAGGAGGAGGAGAAGGCAGAGGAGGTGGCGGAGACGCGCCCGCAGCCCCACAGCGTCGTCGACGGCGCGTTCAATCTCGGGGTCCAGACGGGCATGCGGACGACTCGCACGGGCAACATCACCCTGTGCCACAATCGCCGCGTGCACTATGGCGACGCCCAGATCTGAATTGGTGGTCCACGTTCGATTTTGTTGCTGAGATGGAGCGCAACACCGTTACGATGACAGATGTACCAGAGAACCTCGTTGCACAATGCACTGCTGCAAAGACAGCGCTTTTGGAACGCATCGTCCAGAGACAGAGCGAGGAAGACGAGCTCAATGCTTGGAAGGCTTTTCTGATGTTTGATCGTCCGGTCCTACGGCGGCCGACTCGCCGAGGGGGCCGTGGACGAGGGAACAAGCGGGCGATTGGCAGGGAACGGGACGTGGCAGGTCGATTGAAATTGTTCTGGAGTGGCCAGGGAGACTTCATGTACAACGCACTCGAAGATCTGCCACTCGTCGCAAGAAACGCTCAGCGCTCTTTGTCTTTGCAGCGGGTCGAGGAGCACTGCGCCGACGACGACATGGGGAGAGTCATGAGTCTGCTGCGCAGTCGAGCTTCCCGTGTCATGGACCCTGCTCGTTTGGGCGACCTGCGAGCGATCTTGCTCGATACTCCAACATCCCACGAGCCTGCTGCTGGCGACCCGCCTGCTCAGCTTTTCACAGACGAGGATAGCGAGAAAGATTTCGTGGAGTCCGTCGTGCGTGCCCTCGGCGCCATGGATCCGCGATCAGCGCACGGACGGGAGGGCTGCAGAGTGCCCTTCTGGCAGTTGTTGAAGAATGACACAAGGGCCATGGATATGTTATCAACCGCACTCTCCGGATGGGTACAAGGCCAGACGCCTCGAGAGCTTGACCGGTATCTCTGTGTACAACAATTGCTCGTGCTCTCAAAGAAGGACAATAATGGAGTCAGGCCGCTTGCTGCGGGGGCGTTCCTCCGGAGGTTT